TCTTATATAAAAATTTCAGTTATTTGTTTGGATTAGTAGTGCTCTTAGGTCCATCGTCTTTTCATGTTGAATTTTATATGTTCTAATGTTAATTATGTTTAATGAATATGTCCTGATGATGGTCTAAAATAGACCGAAACGTCCGACGTTGACTTTATATTAACATTAATACAGCATAATTGCATATTAAGATTTTTGTTTGTTTTATCTGTATATTTTTATTTATACTGTCGGATCTATATCCATATATTTGCTTATATATATATATATATATATATATATATATATATATATATAACATAGTATTTTTCCAAAAATGGCCCGTGTATTTCTGAAAGATGTTTTAAGGAGTTCATTATTAAAAGGTAGAGCATTAATAGCAACAAGTAAAACCAATTTATCAATTCCGAATCGAGGTTTCACGAATTAGCTAGCCACTCGTTAGTGGTTTAGTATGAACTCCTCGGATGAATGGATATTATGCCTGAGAAACCCCGTAGAGTAAAATATAAGTGAACACTTTTACATATTCTGCCATATATAATCTACAAGTTTATCATGTATATTCTTCCAAATGAAAATGTAGAATGCCTTAAATATTTATTTTTTTACAATACTAGTAATTTAGCATTTCGTCCTTTCGTTTGAATAAATCCCCCTAAACAGAGCCCAACTGTTTGCCGCACCTTTGCGGACTTTTTAACACATGCGCAAGTCGGGTCGATGATATTTTTCTTGGAGCCCGTGCGAAATAGGCATTTTTTCCCCTGTTTGAATCTCGAACAAACCAAACCTCTGGTTTTTGCGACTCTCCTGTAAACTGGACCTCCGTCTACGATTTTCATTCTCATTGATACCGGAGCGATGTCGCCAATTTCTTATCTTGGACAAACCAGATCAATATCTACCCTTTTGACACTCGTGTAAATTAAACCAATGTTTACCTATTTTGACTTTCGTTCGCGTCTGGCTCAAGTGGTATACCTATCTATTGTTTCGCAAAATCATTACATGAGCATTCAATGCTCTCCACTGTGTCCTGTTTTTTTTTTGTTTTTTGTTTTTTTTTGGAGGTCTTTTCAAGAGGTTTCGTCAAAAATAATGTTTTGTATTTTTGCTGACGTGATAAGCAACCTTGTCTCGCTATTAAGTAGTGAGTTTGATTCTCACTGGGCGCTCTTCACTTTCGGCCATGTAAGCTACCCATAGAAAATCATTTGGACATTCCGACGTGGTGTAATGGTTAACAAGTTTGCCTCGATAAATTACAATTTTATAGTGAGTTCGATTCCCACTGGTTTCTACATTCAGAATTTGCCATTAAAATACTATGAAATTTATTAGTATTCTTCAATTACTTATATAGTAATGCTCACCCCTCTATTTCTCTGCCCCGGGGACATTTATAGAACCTTCTGGTTATTTGGTTATTTGTCAGCCGTGATATACCTTTTCATCTTCAACCGTATACTTAGATCCCATTATTTCGTCCTATTTCATGCCGATATTGAATCTACGGATTGAAGCTCACTCAACTGAGCTACTCCGTCCCGGGTTAGACGATAAAATACACCCGCGTCCTGGGTAAGACGATAAACTACATCCGCGTCCTGGGTAAGACGATAAACCACATCCGCGTCCTGGGTAAGACGATAAACTACGTCCAACAGCATGGCCTCTGATCAGGAGGTTTTGAGGAGCATGGAACCATCTCTTAATTGCTGGTGTTCCCAGTCTCACCATGACCTGGGGTGGTAGCAACTGTTAGGGTCCCAGCTATGGACAAAGAGTTAACACCCAAACTTGTGTAAAAATAGGTTTTAATACCAGAAACATTTTGTAATAAAAAAATTATTACCAGCAATAATTTTTGATGGAAAATTTATTATCAGCAATACTTTTAAAAAATACCAGCAATACAAACATCTATTCATTCTTTGGAAAATATATGACCAGCTATAAATTTCTTCAAGGAAAAATATTTCCAGAAATAGATTTATGAAGGAAAACATTACCGGCAATAAAAATTTTGTCGGCATTAAATAACCCATTGAGATTGATATGTTGTAAACCAAACCAAGCCAACATATACTGAGATAGATAGATAGATAGATAGATAGATAGATAGATAGATAGATAGATATGAAGTGACCAAGAGACAGATAGACATGAAGAGGCCAACATAGATAGATAGATAGATAGATATTACTAACAATAAAAATTTTGTCGGCATTAAATAATCCATTGAGGTTGATATGCTGTAAACAAACGAAACCTAACCAAATCAACTGAGCTACTGACGACAAAGAATCTGTTTTGACTTTTTATTCCTGAAAATTCAAATCTCTCCTCTAATATATCCCTTAAATGTCAATGGGGAAAGTCTGGCTGGTTATATTCAGTGACTCGAACATCACTCTAGTTACATTGTATCGCCCCCGATCGGGATTGATCTACCTCCAGTCACGATGAATCTGGAACTTATACATATGACTCATTACCAAAGATTCAGGTAAAATGCTTGATTCCCTATACCGCTTCAGTAAGTACCTGACTCCTCTTGCAATCCTCTACCTTTTACAAGAGTTAGATTAAGCCTAAAATTGCGTGCTGCTGTCATAAATGGGCAGGAGCTACCCAGTCCGAAATTTCTAGTCACGGTGGAATCCAAAAGAGTGTCCGTGTCCTTGTGTGTGACAAATTATTTTCTACGCAGCAACACCTCTCTCAGAGACGAAACACTTCCACTGCTGTGTCGTTACTTCCACTAGTTCTAACCTTCACGGCTAGAACCCGTCATTGTAGCGAACCGTCCTCATTATCTCCGTATGCCACTGGTGACAAGTAGGTTCTACTCAAGTAGCATCTTCCCACGAAGCACTGTTCTGTGGATGGGACTCCCAAGAGGATGTTTTCCCGATCACTACAATCTTAATCTGTTCAAGGCTAGATTTAACTGTTATCTTCCCGATATATCCCCATAAACTTTACCCCTTACTCTGTAACCCTCTACCTAGAGAGGCTCCAGGTTCTTGTACAGGATGAAGCACATTTTAAAAAATAAAATAACAGTAAAAAAAAATCGATTCTGTTAACGAAAGTTTAATTCTTATGAAATCAGATACGATATCTACTTGACAACGGAGAATCTTAAATTTTGCATTTGGATACACTCCTTTTTGAGATGTTTCAACCCATGTAGAACAGTCTATCTTTAATTGTTGCCTCTTTATCGTATCCGATAAATTGCTTGAAATCAATTGCCTGACAGTAAATTGCTCGAAATCAATTGCCTGACAGTAAATTGCTCGAAATCAATTGCTCGACAGTAAATTGCTCGAAATCAATTGCTCGACAGTAATTTGCTCGAAATCAATTGCTCGACAGTAAATTGCTCGAAATCAATTGCCCGACAGTAAATTGCTCGAAATCAATTGCTCGACAGTAATTTGCTCGAAATCAATTGCTCGACAGTAAATTGCTCGAAATCAATTGCTCGACAGTAATTTGCTCGAAATCAATTGCCTGACAGTAAATTGCTCGAAATCAATTGCTCGACAGTAAATTGCTCGAAATCAATTGCTCGACAGTAAATTGCTCGAAATCAATTGCCCGACAGTAAATTGCTCGAAATCAATTGCTTGACAGTAAATTGCTCGAAATCAATTGCCTGACAGTAAATTGCTCGAAATCAATTGCCTGACAGTAAATTGCTCAAAATCAATTGCTCGACAGTAAATTGCTCGCAATCAATTGCTCGAAAAAAAAAGTTAGTTTGCTCGAAACCTGTGGTTAAAAAAAAATAAATACATTTTTAATATTTACTATGAGATAAAATAATACAACTTTATTGTTGTTAACTGAACAGTTAAAATTAAAGAACGAGTACATTTATATAGCAGGTCTTATTTTTTTTTCTTGAAAGGCAGTTTGCTTGAAGCCTGTAGTTAACAAAAAAATAAAACACGTGCTAAGCATTTCCTTTTCTTTTTTTTTTTTTGCACATTTCACATTTCCAGTAAATCTTATTGTTCACTTATTTTATCCTTAATATATAGATATCCATCCAAACATAACTTTGTCTTTCCTTTTTCGCTCTCAACAAAAGTTATGTCCATCACTAGGGTTCGAAATCTCCAAAATTACTGAAATAGAAAACAAATATAGAAAAGAAATCAGGACGGCTAAAGTCGAGTGTTGTGGCTCCTTTTATATCCAGCTCCGTTGACGTCATCAGACGACACAGTTAACGTGGTGCTCCGAGCTTCGAAATTACTTCGAGCAATCTGCTTTTCTAGCAATTGATAGTTCGAGAAATAATTTTTCAAGCAATTGATTTCTAGCAATTTACCTAGATCCACTTTTTATTGATCCATCTTTGGCGATCTCCGGCTATACACATGTGTTCCCATTTGTAAGGAGAAAAGCAAAATAAACGTCTTAGTTGGGTTTTCATTGAACGACAACTATTTTCAATAAACACATCTTCGGGAAACACACCTGCAAAGTAAAGCGAAGAAGGGAATCGTTTCGCAAAGCAAGAAGAATCTAAAAAGTGAGCTTAAAAAAGAAAGGAACCTTACAACAAGTATTATCTGTTGTTTCAGAAGAACCGCGAGGCTAGCCCCGAGCAAATTTCATTCTGTCGGCAAAAGGAATTTAAAGCTTTTAACATACAAAAGGAATATATATATATATATATATATATATATATATATATATATATATATATATATATATATATATATATATATATATATATATATATGCACAGAGAGGTTATTTTTGATACCTTCGAAAAATGGCTGGTTGAATACTGGAGCAGCTGCCCCTCGGACGAAAAGAAACTATAGATGTTTTATATTTTGTGGACATCTTTTTTGTCTGGTTGAAGAATTGGTTTTATTGTTAGCCATAAGTTTTTCGATAAGGATTATTTCTTATTTTATTTACTTATATATCTCCTTAGAATAAATTTACTTTTTAGCTCGTATTCTTTAATGTTTTTATTTTTATTTTTCATTTTGTTTACTCTTTCATTTGTAATTTTTCTTTGCTATTTTTCATGTCCTTTTTCTGAATCTTTCTTTACTTCCTCGCTCCTCCTACTTTCTCACTTTCCCTTCTATTCTTCCATTTTATTTAATTTTTTTTAATTCATTTCATTCTTTCAGTTCTTTCAAATTTTCTTTCTTAATTTTCTTCTCTTTTTTTCTTTTCTTTCATTCATTTTATTTTTCTTAACTTCATTCTTGTTTTGCCTCCTTTTCTTTTCTTTTTTTATTTTTGTTTAATTTTTAGTTCTTTTCTTCGTTTTTCTTTCGTTTCCATTTTATTTTCTTCTGTATCCGTCTTTTATTTTAAATCAATTCATCTTTTTGATATTTTTTCTTCTTTCCGTCTTTCTTTCTTTCTATTATTTTTTCATTCTTTCATTTATTTCTTAGTTCTTTTTCTTCTTTATATTTTCCTTCTTTATTCTCTCTCTTTTACACAATCTCATTCTGTTTCTTTCTTTTCATTCTTTGGCCGTTTTTCTTTTTTTATTTATTTTCTTCCTTCCTTTCTTTCATTTATCTTTAGTTTTCTTAACATTTATTTTGTCCGTTTGCTCTTTCTTCCTTTGAATTTTATTTCCTTGTACTTTCTTTCATTTCCTACATAGTTTTCTTTTCTTTATTTTTTTCTTTCTTTATCTTCTTCTTTCTTTATCTTCTTCTTTCTTTATTTCCTTCTTTCTTTATTTTTTTCTTTCTTTATCTTCTATTTTTTATCATCTTCTTTATTTTTTTCTTTCTTTATCTTCTTCTTTCCGTATTTTCTTATACCCTTTTAAATTTTTTACGCTTCTTTCTTCCTTCATTTCTTCTTCTCTTATTAATTGTTTTATTCTTTCTTCATGTCTTTCTTTTCATTTCCATTTTCTTTATTAATCTCTATATCTTTCTTTATTTGTCACGTTTTTCATTTTTCGTATTATCCTTGGCTCCTCATTTCTTAATTCTCTATTTATTTATATTTCCCTGATTGAATTCTATTTTCACTTGATTTGTTTCCCTTTCATTTTGTCTGTCCTTTTTGGCGTCCCATATTTTCCCCCTAAATCTTCTTTCCCCTTTCTTACTGATTTTTGTATTAGGGAGGTTTTTATAAATCGAACCGACTATTTTAGCTTCTTTTATTATCTATCGTTCAGTCTTTCAAGAAATTTTTTTTGCTTTTTTTTTTTTTGTTTTTATTTTACCTCCTTTGCTTTTGCATCCATCCATTTTATTTTCTCTTTTCTCATTTTCTACCACCTTATATTTGGGTTGGGGGTATTTCGTTTCATTTTTTTGTTTTCCTTTTCTTTCTTTCATGAAGTCTTTAATTTCCTTATCTACGTAAAACCCTTTGTATAGTTCTCTCTTTTTTTCTCTATTCTTAATTTTATTTTCCTTTTTAATACTTTTTATTCTCGTCACATTTTTGTTTAGATACGTTTTTTAGCCACCATCATCTTTTCATCTTCGACAATATGCTTCCATTATGTTTTCCATCTTTCCTTCCTTATATATAATATTTGTTTTGCTTTTTAACGTTTTGTCCGCTTTATTTTGGATATAAATTGATGTCAGTTTTTTTTTTTATAGAAACGTGTCTAAAACTTGTCACTCAACGGGAATCTGGTAACAGAAAACATCCATTGTTTCCTTCTTTAAAGATTTCTTATACTTCCAACCTCGCTATATTTGATACGATTCACACCGGGAAGCAGGGAAAAAATTTTGGAGGCGACGTGTAAATGTTTAGGGGAAAAAACATATTGAATCGATAATGAAGGACCTTATTAAAAAGACACGCAAGGGTTTGCGAAAGAAAATCCGAAATACACAAATAGGAAAGAAAAAGACCACAACAAGACATTAAACTTTATTTTAATTAGAAAATATCAACAAAAAGATAAAATTAAAAACTTCTCCGCCTGTCAGTGTTTAGAAATGATGTATTAGTTGAGGCAGTAATTATGGAAGCTATGACTTGCCAAAAATCATTGAAGAGTCGACGTTTCCCTTCAAAATTTGGTTATCAGTAAATAGTAAGAAGGTGAGTATTAGTGAGAGAGCTATTAAGATTAGTAATTGTATTTTCCAACTTTTTATCGGCTTATGTTGATATGAATTTTTAGGTGAAAACCTATCCGATGAAGATTCACCATCACTCATCAAAATCACTCCCCATGACAGCCTCTGGTTGTAGGCTGGCTGAGCAACTGGACACCTGACCATTTCACTCCATATACCTGGATTGAGTATCATGAACGCATTTCATTCAGGTGTTGAAAATCTTGAGCAAAAAGACCTAATAGAGCCGAAATCCGACTTGAAGACTTGCTTTGGTCACATAGCCGCTGATTTCAACGAAGAAACGCTCATCGATGTTGTGTCATCAATGCTATGGTTTCATACCTGGGCCCAGTCGACTCCAGATCGACCCACCTTTGGTTTTTCTCATGTCCTTTTTCTGAACCCTTCTTTACTCCCTCGCTCCTACTTTCTTAATTTTCTTCTCTTTTTTCTTTTCTTTCTTTCATTCATTTTATTTTTCTTAACTTCATTCTTGTTTTGCCTCCTATTCTGTTCTTTTTTCTGTTTGTTTACTTTTTAGTTCTTTTCTTCGTTTTTCTTTCGTTTCCATTTTATTTTCTTCTGTTATCCGAGAATCGTCTGCCCTTTGTTTTGAATCTACCGAATCTCCTCACCAGAAAAGCCCAACGCGAGAACAAATTTAACACTCATTATGCTGCTTTGATATACAAGGAGCAATGGGTAAATTGTCGGCATTTTATATTATTGTGGATATCCTGGTAACCTGCTGGATCATGTATTTTGAATGTAGCCTTTGAGAAGGCAAATTGAAACAGACAACAAAATAATATATATCAACTTGGTAAATGTCTTTCTTCTTCTTATAATGACACCAAGTAGCTTGTCCGTGAATATGAAAGATCTAATTGAAAATAAGAAGAAAAACTTGTCTAAATTATTCAATGGAATATGTCTCAATGAAAACATGCTGCCAAAATATACGCCTTCTCTCTCTCTCTCTCTCTATAGATCTATATATACATACCTATATATATATATATATATATATATATATATATATATATTGTCATCCACAAACATACCGTTTCACTGCATCACAGTCCATCAGTGTGGCCAGACGTCCGATTGCCTCTGGCTAGGATGATCGAAACCTAACCGATTGGCGCGGGTCGGGGATTCCACCACTAAGCCGTTACTCTCTCTCTCTCTCTCTCTCTCTCTCTATATATATATATATATATATATATATATAATTATTTATTTAAAAAAGTTTATAACATAAATATGTTATAAAATCACTACAAAAATAGCCATTTTGTTTCACCAATCATATACATGGGTATATATATATATATATATATATATATATATGTATCGTGTTGTATCCTTAAAGAGGTTACAGACAGACTAAGGTGGTACTCGATTGAAAGGAACAACAACAGAACGTAGAAGAAAGTAAGGTTTATTGTAAAACAAATATGCTACTAAAAAACAGAGAATCAGTTAGCAAGCTAGTAATTCCCGAAGCAATGATATTTAACTCGTATACATGGGTTTGGGTAGCTCCTCATGATGACTGTCCAAGGCAAATTCTAGGTTCCTCCATAGTTCGACCTGCATAGCTGGAGACGGATCTCTTTTATTTACATTTCCCAAGTACTTTCGATCTTCTTCCAAGATCATCTTCAGGGGTGCAAATATTACAAAATTATATTTGTTCATTAAAGTTGTACGTTGTTATTCATTGCGTAAATTTTTCATTGTGCTTTTAAATGCAATACGGTTGGCAATGTGCTGAGCGTTCATTAGAACGTGAAAAATTATCCATTATGGAATTTCATAATGTATAATTTTTCGCGTTCTAATGAAAATAAAAGAAATTTAAACAGGTATAGCACATTTCTCTCCTCTTTTAGCATCAATACACGGATGGTTATTCGTGATTATGAACGGATTTTGTTAAAAATTAGCAGACATAATTTCTGTAATTTATTCAATCAGACATGCATATATATATATATATATATATATATATATATATATATATATATATATATATATATATATATATATGGACAAAGTCCGACAATTATTTTAAGACATTTTATGGTTATACGTTCAGACCGGTTATTATAAACAGAGCATTTAATTAAATATTTTATCTATAAAAAGAATGTGTAATCATAATATATATATATATATATATATATATATATATCATTTCAGACCAAACGGAAAGGAAAGAACAAAAGACTAAGGGGATTCAAGAATACAAAAGATGGTGATCGATGTTGCATTTCAATTTTTGAAGATTGTAGTCATCAAGGAAGCGAGTAAAGGAAAGTTAAGAAGTGCCAGGCAAGTTCCAGTTGTATTTAACCATTTCTACAGCAAATGGGTGGGCCCTAGATGCCAATCGAATTGTACGATTAAGTTTAGGTATTCGGGGCACCCGAGAAAAAAGCTCGTCAGAGCAGTTGGCATGAGAATATTTATAGAAAGGAGGGAAGCCACGTCACGCCGGTGAGAAAGAGAATGAAGTCGAGATGCCTAGATAGGATCGGCTATATTACAGATTCTTCTTAAGATTTTGTCAAAAATCTCCAGACCAGAATTGGCAACAATATTCAATGCACGGACAAATGGTAGATTTGGAAATGCACCAAAGCCATAAATACAAACATTGTAAACTGAACATTTCTTATTTATTCACTGTCTCCGTAAGTTTATATATATATATATATATATATATATATATATATATATATATATATATAGAGAGAGAGAGAGAGAGATAGATAGATAGATAGATAGATAGATAGATAGATAGATATACATGCGCATGCGCGACTGCGAGTGTATTTATTGGGGAGTGCTAAAAATTTCATATCACGAACAAATTCCCAAAATACCCATCGTATGATGATTCTTCAATAAATGCTGCCTCACCCCTGTTTGGTACGTTAAACTCTTGTTATCTCCAGCAAACAGCATGGCGCGCGACATGAATTAAATCATTCAAATCCTGTCAATCATCGGTTCCACCATTTTGAAATAAGGAGAATTTTTTTTTTTCCACAATAAGGAATTAACATCGTCAAAATGATGACAGGACAATGAATGTCTGGTGATTATCGTCTGCTGTCATAAAGTTACTTTTATTTATTTTCTTGTTGTTGTTGTTGTCTTTTTTATTAATAACACGATGATTATCTGCAGAAGGTGCCGATTAAGTGAAAGTTGAAGAATGCAAAAGAAAAAAAAATCATCGAAAAAACTTTTAAAATGAACAACAATACCATTTTATCAATGATTTTGACATAATGAGGATATCGATATGATATTTGTTCAAGTTTGAAAAAGTCTAACGTTTTAGAATTATCTATCTATCTATCTATCTATCTATCTATCTATCTATATATATATATATATATATATATATATATATATATATATATATACATCTGGGTTCATATAAATATCCAAAAACAACCATCACTAAATAAATACAATTTTAATCAATTAATTATGTATATACAAAATAAATGAAAAATAAAATAAATCAAATAAACACGCACAGACACACACACTTTACACCTGGCCTACGTCACAACTCTTTTTGCCCACGTGACTACCCTCACCCGTTTTACGAAACTAACATTTTTGCCTCTAACTACACGAATGATGACTTATGAAAGCTGAAAGCTTGGACAATATTTCTTCCAAAATAAACTTTGGACAATTTCTGTCGGAATTTCCTCCTTATCTAAGAAGGATGATTCGTAATCTGGAAAAGTCGATCAATGAAATTAATCATCACAAATATCGTTATCGTTAATAGCACTTGACTTAAAGAATATTTGCTACCTAAATACGCACAATATATATATATATATATATATATATATATATATATATATATATATATATATATATATG